AATTAAATGGGTTAACATAGCCTGTCATAATGTTAGCATATATATTATTAAATAGTAATGATAAGATGAACGTTTTGCATTCTATACGAAAGTGTATTTTATAAGGTCCATTTCGTTTTTTGCCCTGTGTACATAAGGTGTGACCATCAAGAGACATAGATTTCAACGGTTAAACTACAAGAAATATTTAAGGTTGTTCATATTAAAGGTAATGAGTGAAGAAAGCTTTTAGAAAAAGGTTAATTAATTCATCAATTTTGGATTTGTACTTAGTGTTCAGACTAAGAGTGATACTATAATGTGTCATAGAAGCAGCCTACTTTACAGAAATTGTTGGCAAATACATGCCTCATGGTTAATAAATGATAGACATGCTACTCTAAGCAATGTATTATATTATTGTTTCCTTGGATTCCTAGTGGAACATAGGGCTTCAACTTCACGTCTCCACTTGCTTCTGTCTTCTGATGTACTTTTCACTTGCATCCATGTTAGTCCATACTGTTTCAACTCCTCTTCACACGATCTCCTCCATGTCACCCTTGCACTGACGTCCCACTCGCCGCTTTCCTCTCTCGGGTTCCACTCGAGCTATGGCCTGACGCGCGATGTCACCCAACGGCCTCCTCAGCTAGTGTCCAATCCATCTCCACTTTCTCCTGCATATTTGTTGGGTGATTGGTTTTTGTTTTGTTTGTTCCCATAGTTTCTTGTTTGTGATTCTTTCCGGCCATCTGATATTCAGTATAGAGCGAAGACAGTTGTTGATAAAGGTGTGCGACAGGCTGTTGGAAATATTCTCTGTGACCCGCCGCCAAGTTTCTGATCCGTATAGAAGAACTGACTGACTTGACGTTTGTATTGAAAATCTGAATTTTGTTGTTGTATGATTTGCCAAAATTTTATTGTATTGTCATAATACTTTTTAAGTTTGATTCCTATCCTACAATGTTAAATATTCATAAATATGCATTTGTCTGTGCACCATGCTAACTGCTAATCAGCATATCTTTCAAATCATTCTTAGAGTTCCAAATGGAACATAGGGACTCAAGTTTTCAATTTCCACTGGCGGTGGTGTTTGTTCTAATGCTAATCTCACGGTTAAACTTCTCTATTTTCAGGGCGTACAACGTGCTAGTAAACTCGGTGAATTTTAAAAGTTTGTTGATGAGGGATAGAACCTAGACTTCTCGCGTGGCTGATTGACATTCTACCATTGAACTGCCAACGCACAAAAGTGGTGATGGAAGGATCTGAACCAGCATCCACAGAGTGAGTTGCCAGTTATGTCGATTACATATTATAGATGTCCACCGAATGCTTGGCATCATTTACGATTGATTCAACTTATTAGTTTAACTAAAGATGGTCAGAACGAGGACTGAAACCAGTTCATAAGGTTATTGATTATTAGTATGCTCAGTGTTAAACTTCTCAGTTATTAAAAAACTGACAAAGTTGAATCAGACAGTTGATGATTGTGTGTAGCACATATTAAGACAGAACACATCTGTGCGGATACATTACAGCTAGTTAGAAATGAACTATTCAAGTTGTTCTCCTGGTCTTCTGGCGGCGTCTAGTGGCCCTCTTGATTTTTTTCTTACGAGCATCGTGTGATACACCACACACACACACACACTGTACCAACACACGGGAACTCCAATCATCATTAAATGTTGAGTGATTAGCTGTATTTCATAGAATGTTAAAAACCAGCTGTTAGAGGTTTTAAAGTACGTGATTTATGATGGGTCATCTGTTTGCTAACACTCATAGTTTTCTTATTTGTCTTATTATCATTTTTTTCTGTTTGGAAGGTGTTGCACATTCCTAACCATTGCCTTCCTCGACAACCAATGTTAGTAGTGAGAAGATTCAGAGGTGGTTATGTCAAGACCTGATAACAATCTTTGGAGCTTTTGGCTGTTGCCTCAAGCTCTGTATAGAATGCCTGGAGGCATTTCTTCATATGCATTTAAAGCCCAAGAAATTTCAACAAAAAGTACTTATCTGAAGTATTTATCAAAAACAGATATTTACTTATTGAATAGACTTACTAGGAACTACTACACTGTCTTGAAAAATGAAGATGGAGGTCATGAGTGGATTTAACGAAAACCAACTCATTAGCTGCTAATTAGTGTTACACCTATCAGGTAACTTCCAATCAATAATCTTGAGAGTATCCATGACTCAGAAGTCAGTAATTTATTTAATACAGTGAAAAAGATAAAATGGATTGTGTTTTACATACTGGTGATTTGTTTAATCTTATAATCACCTAAAACAGGCTAAAACCAGTCTGAAGAAATCTAAGCCACCGAGTAGAGTCAGAATATTTACTATAATGTGTTTAGAAAACCTTGAAATCCAAACTGATGCAAACAACTAAGTTATTTGTTCAATGAAAATTGTTTTTGATTATAGCTTGATTCCACACCGTATTTTTGGTACAAGTATGTTTGATATCGGTATCCCAAACTCAGCAGGCCTACCAATAGATATCAGGTGTGCGTCGGCTGGGGATTGAACCCCAAACCATGTGCATGGTCGGCGAGAGTCCTAACCGCTGTGCCACCAACGCACTTAACTTTTCGAGGTAAGTTATATTTAGTGTGAAGTGTCTAGTCCTTTCTTTGGTGCAGACTGAATTCTATCAGTCAGGTTTGCAATATGGCCACCATTCTAGGTAGCTCGCCATCACGGTGCACATTGATTTGATGATGTTAGATAGTTGGAGGCAATCGGCCACAGGAAGCCTTGGACCTAGGTTTCGTGCAGACTGACAGAATTCAGTCTGCACCAAAGGAAGGACTAAATACATCACACTAGTTACTACTGTCCAGTCAAAATACCCACTACAGTCCTACAGGAGGTCAAACACGAGCCCGAATAGCTCAGTGGTAACGTCTGTAACTGCAGGCTGCACTGGGTGACGCGGGTTTGAATCTCAGGGGTGAGGTGGGACATGAGTTCCTTCAAGGTTGCAGATACGCCTTGCTGACTGGTGAGTGCCAACTAGCATGAAACCTAGGTCTAGTCAAGGCTTCCTTCCGATTGCCTCCAACTATCTAATAAGTTATATTTGTATAGAATACATTTTTGCATCTTCATAAAAGTCGATCGTCCAAATCGAGTCGGACCAGTCTGTCTCCTATCTTTATTCGCGTGTGCTCTAGGGGTCAGAGGTGATTAGAAACTAGTACTTATGTTTGGTCTTTAGACAAGTTACTTATTGTCCTCCTGTATCGAATCCTAGTCGCAGCGTTCTAACTGGTGCCGATCATATCAAACCATATCAGAATTTAGCGCTGTTATCTAACCTGAACATCAGTAGCCTTTTCGCTCTTATTAGACGGTAATATTCTACTTACTTTCTGATACAAGACAAGGTGATTAGGTCCATTACAATGAGATTATAACATCAGTAAGTTGTGCAAATGTGTATAAGAAACGTAGATGTTACTTGAATTTCAATAGTTTTTACCCGATTAACAACAACAACAGAGCACTAGTCAAAACATCATTCTAAAGGGCAAGAATGACAGGCTTCAGTGACAAATCGAAGAAGGAACTGCAAATGATAAAAGTATCTACGAGACAACATTTATCTACAAAGATTTGTCTAGAGATTTGGAAAAAAATGGAAAAGAGAATATTAAAAAAAGATGCCACAGTGAATAAAAATCCTGTATTCATCCATCTAAGATATAAAGGCGATAACACTGCAGGGATGACCGACAGATGAATTACGAAATCAACTACTAGAACACTGCGCACAGCTACAGTGATTCCTGTTTACCAAACAGAATGTTGTTTAGTTCAGCTAAAAGTCGACATATACCGTTCCTTTGTTAGCTTCAACTGCGAATATCAGTTCACGCGTAGCTGCCAAACAGATGCATTAGGAGAACAGAAATGGAGATTTCTTGAACATATACCGAAAATTATGCGTTTAAAGGGGTATCTAGGTGACTCAGGATATCAAATTAATAAACAGATAATCAACCTCAAGTCTCTTGAAGTTCCCGGAAGTAGTCACCATGAAACTGTTAAGACCTGATTTACGTAATCACAAAGAAGCTGTAGTAAGTTTTTCTTTTCCTTGGCAACTCTCCTTTTAACCTTAACTCATTACGTCATCTTTTACTGTGTGTAACCGCTGGTTCCTTTTCACTCCTACTTAGTTACAACATCCTTTAATAACCGTTATGATTCATATGTCTGATATCTAACTAAATGAGCTTAACTCACAATATTTTTCACGTATCTTTCATGCATTGTCATTCTTCTAATAACTTAGTCTTGTAATTTATGTGCCTCAATATCTTCTTATTAGCTTTGCTCTCCATTTTTCGTTTTATTCGAGAAACTTCTACCACACTGACTATATAATTAAGATAGTATTTAAAAAAATATTTTACCAACTTAAGATTTTGATTCACGCATATACTATGATCACTGTTAATTACTGTTCCACATGTCACCACCAATGAACTAAAAAGCTATGTTAAGACTGTAACATTGGCTTTCATTACTTAGCTTGTATGCAGTTGACAAGATACCGACGAAATAAACACCAGGGCCGTTTTATCCTGCTCCATGCTTGTTGTTGTCGTTATTGTTATTGCTTTCTTCAAAGTCATTTGTTTATGAAAAAGAAACATCATTTATTGAAGGGTTTCATCATGAGGTGACATCAGTTAGAGAACCATTGGAAAACCTGCACGGAGTACTGGACAGCTGTTTCGCCAGCCTAGTTTGAGACTCTTGAGCAGTACGCACCAAACGCCAGGACGTCCTGGTTATAAGGCTAGTGAGCTCGTAGACTATTAAGCCACTGTGGGTGCGTACTGCTGGAAAGTCCCAAACTAGGCTGACGAAACGGCTGTTCAGTACTCCCTGCAGATTTTCCAATGGTCCTGTCTCTAACTGATATCAACTCATGATGAAATCCTTCAACCAATCAATCAAAACAAAATCCCTAAAAAACGAATACTTGAAAACATCATTTATATTTAAAAATACTTGTTTGTCAGTTTTTTTCATCACATTAATGGATTATTAATATGAGATAAGTGAAAACAAATCTGTTCATATTGTAAAGAGATTGCTCCGTGGTGTCATTATTACTTTCTATCTTTGTTATGTGATTTTTCATGACTTTTTCTTCTTTAGTCCAGCGAATTAGTATTTCGTTTGAAATAGGCTAAACTGGCTCGTTTTTCAGGTTCACTAGAATAATCATATGCAATTGGTTGATTATTCATTGATGGTGTACTTTCTAACCAATTTAAATATTTGCTATTCAGACATGGACAGATTTCTGCTAGTGTTCTAATATGTGAATTAGTTGGCCAATATTCATTGTGGCCACGTTTAAAATAGGATAAGGTTGCACGTTTTGACGCTGAGGATGAAGGAAACATTGGTGATGAATAAGATGAGTCTGTTAATCCACCGCTACGTTTGAAATATGCTAGGCTTGCTCGTTTGTCAAATGAATCCACCTGTGAGAAATAATAATGAAATAAGGAAAAGGATGAAGTGATAAGGTATAGACGGTGAATTTATACTGAAGTACAATATTATCATAATACCAGTAATTAGAAAATTTAGAAACTATGAAAAAAACTGGAGTATAAATAAAAGGGTATTGAAATTAAAACACTATCCCTCAGTGTTATTGGCATTATGAACAGGTGAGGAAGAATATTTAGATTTTCAAAAGAATGGATACTGGACAAAGGGTACTCTTTTCGATAACCCCTTCTCCACCAGGCTCTACAGTTATATATATATATATACATTATAGTGATTGAATTAGTGTTATGAACAACATTAATGCTTAGATAACATCGAATCAGTAATACTGATAGATTACAGCTCAATAGCATCAACATAAAATAAGCTGAATGTCAGAAAAATTAGGAAAGGTAATATTACAAATTCATGAATTTATAGTCTCTACTAAAGTCCAGGGCAGTAGTAGAGGCTGGACTTGCTTCTTTTGAACACAGAGCACTGGTTGTTTGAGGCGAATTGCAATAGCTTCTGATGTTTGGAGCATGCGGTGCTTCGATGATTTTGGCAATTTATTAAGCACCCAGTAGATGATAGAGAAGGACTCTTCAACTCTGGCTTTGTAGCCGGTTTGGACCAGATGGTCTACTATCGAACTGTTGATAGTTTTTACTACACCTTTACTTAGCCATACTGGTAGATGTTCTCGAGTGAGCACGAAAAATCAAGTTCCTAGAGCGACGGCCAGTATAACTCGCTCCACCATCAGCGCAGTTGAATTGATAAATACAATTTGAAGCGGCTAGTCTACGTACTTCATCTTTCAGTCGAGGTAGCACCATCGGTCGTGTAGAGAATAAAACGTGAAGTTCGCCAGCATTGAAAGTTCTTTGAGCTGATTTTCTTAACTTCCTCTTAATTATCTCTCTAGGTATATCACCCTGGAATTGCAGTCATTTATAAAGTGGCTTCTTGTTTACAGATAGTGAGTAGTCCTTTTCCGCTTTCTTTGCCATATGTTTCTTGATAAATTTGTCAGAATAGCTATTTTCAACCAAAGTAGCATATACAATGCTTAATTCATCTTTAATTACTTCCTCAGAGCATATAGCTCTAACTCTGTGGCTGAGGGTCTTCACTAAATTTCTTTTGTAATTGATAGGAACGAAGCTGTGAAAATGTGTATATTGTCCTGTCCAAGTACTTTTGCTATGCCAGTTTCTTTTTATGCTACCACCTGGTTTGCTTATAAGCAGGACATCGAGGAAGGCGATTCTGTCTTGTGATTCCTCTTCGCATGTGAATTTCATAGCCGAATGTATTTCATTGAATTCAGTAATTATTATACTCCTATCCAAATCATTATCACAAAGAATGAAGGTATCATCCATTTACCGGTAATAAAATGAGAATTTTCTGATAAGGTTGTTCAAAGGTCCATTTTCTAGTTTACGTAGAAAGAAATCACCCAAAATGGGGAGCCCATTGCCACCCCGTCCACTTGCCTGTAAAGCGTGCCATCAAATTTGAAGTTTACATTCATGGTACACCTTAATAACAGTTCTTTTAGGATTTCAGTACAGTTAGATTATTAGATAAATTAATAAAACGTAGAATAAAGAACCTGATTATCAGAATGTAGCTTTCATCTTAAAAGTGATACCGGTTAGGAAAATACTGTGAACTGGGGGAATACTGTAGAATTGTTTCATCTTAGCCTGGAACACTTCAGTATTCACTGGTCCATGAATTATAACTTCTATGAATAATCTTACCAAGAGTTAGTGCTATTGGCGGGTATCTGTTTTTTTCTTGCTAGGACTCCGCGTAACCTCATCCTGCAGTCAATCACCGGTGAACATCAGATTAATTTTAAAAATTGAAGAATTGACTTCTTCTTATTGTTATTACCACTGACACAGAAAATTAAAGTTATAGTTTCCTTGGTTGAAATCACTTTTTTATGATTTATTGATAATTTTTTTGGAAAATTGTGAGTAAATATTTGTTGGCAACAATGTAAACTAAATTAAGTGATAAATTTACGAAGATTGAAAAAAGTTATTATGTTGGAAATTTCGTTTTAATATAATATACATTTGAGAAATCTACAGAAAAGTGTACTAAAAGCTTTTAAAGGATTTTTCGAATGTTGGTTTTGTAGGGATTTGATCAATTTCAAGTTTATTCAAGAAGTTTTCAAGTATTGGTTTTGTAGGGATTTAGTTTGATTGCATGGAGGATTTCATCATGAGCTGACATCAGTTAGAGAACCACTGGAAAACCTGCATGGAGTACTGGACAGTTATTTCGTCCTAGTTTAGAAGATTGCGAAGTAGTCCCGCTATGTCATGAATTGACAGAAGTTAGAATTCACGGGCTGGTCACTGAATTGAGTCCCAGTTGCTTAATGGACTACGAGCTCACTAACGTTGTGACCAGAATGTCCTGGGTTCGAAGAGTCCCAAACTGGGACGAAACAGCTGTCCACTACTCCGTGAAAGTTTTCCAATGGTTGTCTTACTGATGTCAGCTCATGATGAAATTCTTCATCTTATTCAAGAAGTGACTTCAATCAGGAAATCATTAAACACCAGGGTGTACTGGATAGCTGTTTCACCCTAGCTTGAAACGTATTCATCAGTGCACACCCATGACCCCTTTGGAGATCGAACAGAGGGTACTCGGGTTATGAGGATAGCTAGTCAACCACTGGGATGGAACTTAATGGCCCATTAGATTTAACTTCTCTGATTCGCTATATATAGCACTATCACCAGCCAACGTCATCACTGACTATTTGCATTTATAACCATCTTCGTGGGCCCTGTTGACCACAATATCTCACTAGAACTCCAGTTAACTTCATACTGTTGTCAGTCACTATTGAGCAGTAGACTGATTGATAAAAACAACAGACTTCTCAGATATTATCTTCATATATAATCATTTAGAACTTTAGATTTTAAAACTGTGCAAACAAGAAACATCAGTTTAATTGAATTTTAGATTTTCCCGTCACTTGATTGGACCGAAGAGCTCGGTCTCAGGTTGACATGTCGGCTTCTTGTGCAGATGCTTCGACGATGTCTGGGCATTTAATTTGTATTTAGTTGGTGGATGGTGACTAGCAGTGGAATCCAGGATGCTTATTTCGTCCTATTTGGGACTCGTCAGCTGGATGTACCTGCATTCCGCAGTGAGTGATGATATTTCCACCGAGGCCCGAACCCAGTGCCCACCGAGCAATTCGGTCCAATCAATCGACGGGAAAATCTAAAATTCAATTAAATGATTAATATGACCCGTTGCACAAGAGGTGGCTCTCGTGGCCCAAGTGGTCTAGTGGATAACGCTTCAGGGTTTGAAACTATGGGCACTGGGTTTGGGCCTCGGTGGGAATATCATCACTCACTGTGGAATGCAGGTACATCCAGGTGACGAGTCCCAAATAGGACGAAATGAGCATCCTGGATTCCACTACTAGTCACCATTCACCAATTAAAAAGAAACATCACTGTTAAATAGACCTTAACTGTCTACATAAAAAATGAACTCAGGCGTAATATGTTCCTATTTGTAATGTATTAAAATCGATAAAATACCATGTGGCCGATTTACCATCATTATCGGGCTTCCTAACGGAAAACGTGGGGAGTTAAGAGTGTGTCGGCCAGGGAACGAGTCTGAGTGTTTTGGATGGCTGGCGACCATTCTACCACTGAACAGTTTAAACAAGCTTACTACTCTGGTAGTTCCAATCCATCCCTCTAGCATGAAATTTGAAGAAAATATTTCACCGATAACTGGAACACTTCCAAGTTCATATTCTTGAGTCAGTAAAACTGACAAACAATTATTTCTGGTGTTTTTAACCTTTAGGATGGTATTTCATATTCGTACAACTGTATATTAAAAAGTTGCTTGGTTCGTGGTGGCTATCAGTGTATACAAGGACGTGAGTTTCGTCCTGTTTGAAACTTGTTGGCTGGATGCATTTACTCCCCATCATTTTTTGGAATTTGTGTTGGTTATTTCATCTAGAATCACAGGGATAGCTTCGTTTTATAACCATCCAGGTCTAAGAAAATAAACTTGTATGGCGGTTAGTTAGTCGTGTCTGTAAATGTTCCTTTACGGTCCTTAAAACAAGATTCAATTTCATCAAAGTTATTGGGGTATTAGGGAGAATATAACTATCATTGCTATCACTCATTCTTTGCATTCCAAAGGCTTCAGTAGCTAGCTTATCACCGTTGCACCATGTCCTCTGAAGTTGTTTTTACCTGGTTCCATGACTGCCTAACAGATTTTATATCATCAGCCGATCTCCTTGATGTCGCCCTCAAAAGCCTAAATCATCGCTTTTCGTTCAGGTTCTTGTTTTAAGCTTGAAAGGAGAGGGGAGGTTGGAGGTGGGGCTAGCAACCTTACTCCGGAAAATCAACTAAGTAGCTACAGAAACATTAAAGCAAAAAAATTAAAGCCGGCTTATTCTGCCCCGAAATTTGGGAGGCAGAATGACGCGCTGGTAAAAAACCTCCAAGAAGCTAGTCGACCGATATGTTGCCTTTTAATGATAGCAAAAATAAGTATAGGGCATAGGACGCCCTCACCATGTTTGGAGCTGGTAGGGCAGGTCCTCCTTTAATTCTCTCTATAATGATTCATTTCAGATCAATCTCATTGACTAAATCTTCTCAAGTCTGAAAAATTGAGGTATTTGAAGCTTTTAGGCTTTAAACAGCTTTATCAAGAAAGACATTACTTAGTTATGAACTTATATATTTCTAAAAATTATTGTAACATCACACGCTATAAATTACTAATCATGTTTAACAATGAATTCGTTGTCCCAATTTCTTGTCTTCATTAAGTTTTGATGATGATTTCTGTCCCGGTAGTACTTTCTGCCTTGGATTATTCTTACATGAATAGATTCTTGTCTGAAGTTGACAAACGGTGTCGCCTTCAATGGTCTTAAACT